GCTGCCATGCGCACCACCCTGTTGGTGTGGTAGAAGAAGACGGGGAGCACATCAAAGATGGAGGTTTCTGACAGGATCAGTTTCTGTGGGAAGAAAGGAAAATTTAGGGCAAGGATGAAGTGAGACTTCCCTGCTCCATTTAGGTGCAGGATTGGTCACCAGGGTGCCATGGAACACCCAGCCCACCATGGGGAAACCAGAAGAGTCAGACATGGATCCACACATCTGTTCCCCCCCAAATGGAACATGGAGCAATGCATAGGGACTGGGGTGCACCCCCTCCTCTGCTCCACACAGCCACTACAGCAAGGTTTTGAATGATTTTTAGTTGTTTTTAAGACGAAACCACTTGCAGCCAGATCCCCTTCCCAAAGCCACCCAAATTCCCTCTGGAAAAACACATAATTCCCAACCTTCAGGTTCTCAGGGCAGTACTCATGTCCGTACATGTCGATAGCAGAGATGAAGATGGACTCAACCTGGTTGTGCCGCAGCTCATAGGAGGGCATGTGAGAGGCAATGAGCACCTGCCAGGGGAGAGAGGAGCTGGGAGCATGGGGGACAGGGATGGGGACAGGAATGGGGTGGCACTGCATGGTGCTGGCTGACCTGCCGGGCTCTCAGAGCCACTTTGGAGTGCTCGGTCTTGCTGAGCTGTGTCAGCTCATGGAGGATGGTTGTCAGCTCATCTGTCAGCGTGGGGTCACGGCCACACAGCTGGTCCTGCAAGGTCACAACCACCATGGCTCAGCTCAGGCTCCTCACTGCGTGGGATGGCTTCATCCTGCACCCCAGCCCCATGCAGGCAAAGGGGACAAGACCCAAGACACTAAAATGGGCTCTCTCACCCAAGAGTCACACAACACCACAGAGGGAAGATAATTAAAATAAAGCGATAACGAGGCAAGAATGGATGCTTCAAGCAATGCAGAGCTGCCTTGACTCTTCCCTGCCACCAGCCTTTGCTCCTGGGGTATCAGGCACAAATTGTACTCACAATTAACATGATCACCAGCTGGTTCTTCTTGGCCACCTGGGCATGGGAGAAGATGCTCTCCAGCACGGGGGTCATGTTGGGTTTGCACTGCTCCCGCAGGCTGATGACACACTTGTCATAGTGAGCTGTGGGGCAAGGTCTGGTGAGCCCTGCAGCTCCTCCAGAGAGCCCTGCAGCTCCCCCACAGAGCCCTGAGCCCTCACCATGCTGGAACTGTGTCTCCACTTGCAGGTAGCGCCTGAGCAGGTCCAGCACCACTGCCTTCATGTAGCCCCGGATGCCGCTGCGGTACCTGGGGAGCAAAGAGCCCATCATGCTGTGAGGAGGTGGCTGTGGGGGGACATGGGGGTGACAGACAGCACGGGGCTCACCTCTGCACCAGCTGCACCAGGCTCTGGGTGTTCATGAAGAAGACCTCCCGCTCAGCCTTTCTCTGCAGCGTGGCTGCATGGGTGTCCAGCACGCTGGCGATCTGTGGGGAGAGGGGACAGGGTCCAGGGTGGCTCAGGGGCACGAGGCTGCCATCTCCCCCTTTGCTTACTCCACTCAGAGCCTTTCCCTTATTTGTTTAGCTTTTTTCCCCCAAAGTGAAAAATGCAAAGTGACAAATGAATGTAAAAAAGAAAGGCGCACATAGAAGCAAACACACATACAAAACCAAACACACATACAAAATATCAACCTCCACATATTTCCCTCACTCATTTCATTTGTTATAAAATCTTGGCAGCACAAATTGAGGCAGGAGCTCCCAGCTGGCTCCAGTGAAGAGGATGTGAGCCCCCTTTGGCACTGACCTGCTGGCTGGGGAAGCGGCAGAGCACGGAGGTGATGTTGCTGGCGTACTGCGCCATCACCTTCCGGATGGCCTTCTCCACAGCCAGCGGGATCCGTCCCGAAATGCTCGTCATGATCTCCTGCAGCTCCAGCAGGGGCAGGGCAGGGTCCCGCAGGGTCTTCATCAGCTGTGCCACCCACTCCTTCACCTGCAGGAGCAGAAGATGGTGCTGCTGGACTTGCCCTCGTGGCAACTGGGTGGAACCCACGGTGCCTGGCACCCACCTTGGTCTTGAAGTAGGGCTCGGGCAGGCAGTAGCCGTTCATGACGTTGGTCAGGTTGTCCAGAACGTTGCGCAGAACCTGGTGCTGCTTCTCACCAGTGATGGGGAGGGTCTGCTGGGCTGGGAGCAATCCTGTGAATGGCTGTGCCTGGAGAGGGCAGAGGGAGGTGGGTTGAACTGTTGTTGAGAGAAACAGAGGTCCTGAGAGCTGCAGCTGCCCCAGAAACCCAGCACAACCCATGCTTTGGGTCAGGTATGAGGAAGCACCTGACATTGAGCATAGTGGATCTGCCAGTGTCTTATGATGAAAATAACATGGAAAAACTGGAGGTTTTAGTGCTATAAATGCACTTTTTTAGTGCATGTGAGCTCCTGCACATCGAGGAAGCAGAGTGGAGCAGCACTTGAACCCAAAGACAACCCAAGGACATAGCATGACCTTCACTGTGACGCCCCACTAGAGCAGCTCCTCCATTTTGCCCCCTAGGGAGCATTCCCAGGATGCCAACTGGGAGCTGGCAGGAGGGGATGGCAGCCCCAAGGAGACTCACAGGCTTCACTTTGGAGGGATCATCGAGCTGGAGGCGGGCGATGACGCAGCCAGCCTCCAGCAGCGTTCCCGGCCGCTTGACGTAGTTCAGCTTCCCCGCCTCCTCCACCGTCAGCGTCATGATGATCTTCATCACCTGGGGAGGAAGAGACACAGTCACCGAGCCAGCAGCACCAAAAATTCTGCTCCTCCAGCTCTTCTGCAAAAGCTCACCTCAATCTCTGCATAAACCTTCCCCTCGTCCACGTGGCCACCGTCCTCCACCATGTACTGCAGCAGCTTCCCCGCGCAGGGTGAGCGCAGCACCGTCGGGTCCTTCTCCTTCTCGAAGGTGCAAGTTTTGTTGCCGATGGTGATCCGGTACCTAAGGGACAGGGAAAGGTGTCACCAGCCAGCTGGTGGCCATCAGGGAGGGGAGATGGTGGCCCTGGCAGGGGGTACCTGTCAATCTCCTCTTTCATGTAGGTGGTGTAGCTGCAGCCATCGTAGGAGAGCAGCAGCCCCCCGTCGTTGAGGCGGTGCACGTCGATCTCGATGTGCGTGCGGTTCATGATGACCACGTAGGTGGTCAGTGACTGGCGGGCCACCTGTGGGCAGAGGACACCCTCAGTGCAACCCCAAAACACACTGGACAGCAAGGCTGGGGGCTGAGGAGGCACCTCCCCATGGGCTGCTGCCACGGGATGGGGCTGTGCTGGGAAGGCAGGAGACACAACCTCAGGCTGCACCCAGGAACTGCTCAACTCTGCCCAGAACTGGTTTAACTCAACTCACAGCCCAGAACTGGTTTAACTCAACTCACAGCCCAGAACTGCTTTAACTCACAGCCCAGAGCCGGTGCAACACATGGCTCACCTGCCACTTTCATGGTGAGTAAGGAGTTTTGCATGAAGTCCAACTAATTTGGTTTAAAAGCAAGAAAATGAAGTCCCTTAATAACTCAGGGCAACGGGGTGTATGAAAATGTTTGTCAGGTTAAAATGAGGTTATTAAGGTTATGAGGTTATTAAGCTCATTTTTATGTTGCCCATTTTTAAAGGACAGCTCTGTATTTATTTCAGTTTTCTCCCCTGGGACAGAAGCATGTCCCTGACCCCTTGAGAAGCACTGTGGCTGATTTGGGGGCAGCACAGCCCTGTTCTCACCTGCAGAATGTACTTCACACCCTCATAGAGGAGCTCCACATCGACAATGTTCAGCAAAGAGGCTGCTGGCAGCACCTGGCCCCTGAAAAACAATTGAAGGATCAGGCCCCAGGGCATTCCCAGTCTCTCCAAGCCTGTGGGATATCAGCAGTGCTCCCAGTCCTGGTGGGAAGGCACAATGGTGAGCAGAGGGGACAAGTGTCAGCTTTAAGTGACCCACATGAGCACCATGCTCAGCCAGATTTGGAGGGAGGCCAGGCACTGGGAAAACACTCAGATAAGGCACATGGGAGAGCCCTGGGAGTCCTCCAAGGCTGGAGGAATAACCTTGATACTCAACAACAAAAGCAAACTGCAGAGCCAAGCCACTTCCCCTTGAAAACTGTTTTCCCAGCCAGGGGAAGCCTTTCCTACTGTCCAGACAAGCTGATAGCTGAGGATCCAGATACTCCTGTCCCTGCCTGTCACAGCACTACTGTCACTGAACTTGTAAAGCAAAACTGGAAGGAAGATGTCCCAGAACAACACTTAGGTCTCCACTGTGACTGCCCCAATCCTGGAATTCCTCAAGGCAAGGTTGGATGGGGCTTGGAGCAACCTGATCTGGTGGAATCAGATGATTCCACATGACTGAGCCCCCCCCTGTGCAGCCCCCACTCCTCACCTCTCCAGCGTGTGCAGGAAGTCACTCATGCTTGTTCTGAAAGCAGCATCTGCCACATGCAGGGCACCACAGACAACCCCCAGCATCGTGTCTGGCTTCTCGGCCTGTGGGGGCAAAACCAACAGGGTTTGGGTTTTACCCCAAGGGAGGGGAGTGGTGACCCCAGGGCATCACCCTCACCTGCACTTTCTCAGCAATCAGGTGGTCCAGCCAGCACGTGTGGATCTCATTGTTCTGGAAGCTCTCTGTCTCCAGCAGCTTGATCAGGTACTCCACCGTGGTGCGGAAATCTCCACGGATAGACAGCTCCTTCAGGGCCACCACCATGTTCCTTTCAGGGAAAAAAGCCCTTCATTAATGACTGAGAAGGTGGCACTTGGCTCCCAGCAGAGGGAACTGGGGAGTTTCAGGGCCTAGGGTGATGAGCTCCTGAGGTGATGAGCTCCTGAGCCCCCAGCACCTTTATAGCCACTGCATGATTTCGGTTTAAAGAGACCTTAAAAATTCTCTTGTTCCTACCCCCTGCCATAGACAGGGACACCTTCCACTAGATCAAGTTACTCCAAGAACCATCAGCCTGTCCATGAAACTGCTGCTCAGTTCCTGATGGACACTGCTGCTCATAGGCACTAAGCAATGCTCAGCAGATGACTTCAACATGCCCTTGAGAAACAGGTGGATGAATTGCGGCTGTAGGACCACCACAGTCCAAAACATTCTGGCTTTGGCCAGACAGCCAGGTGCTTAGCACAGCAGCACCATTCTGGTCCTGTCAGATAAAAACCACTTTTCCCAGCTCACAGTTCCTCCCAAGGCCACACGCCCTCCACCTCATCCTGCCACACTCACGAGGTGGCCTCCTCCCGGTTCTCTCCCCATGAGAAGCAGTGTCCAAACTGGGAATCAGCAAACTCGTGCAGCCCCCCAGCTGCTGCCACGCTGAAATACCCCCAGACGTTCTTGCTGCTGCGGAAGTTCAGCTCCTGCACTGTCCCCGAGCTGGGCTTGAAACCCTGAGCCAAAACAGCAGAGATGGAGGAACCAGGATTGAGAATCCTGCAGCAAGACAGGGAAGTGGAACCCCCATGGATTGCACTGATCCCATAAACATTGCCTGGCTGGGGAGGACCATGCCCAGCTCAACCCCACGGGTGGCAGAGTCCCCTTGTCCCCAGCCCGACCCCAGCTCACCTCCTCGGGGTTCTCGCTGGTGATCCGGGCAGCAATGACGTGGCCCCTGGGCACGGGGGGGTTGGAGGGGCTGTGGAAGGAGATGGGGGTGTCCCCCCAGGGGCTCTCCCCATACAGCACCCGGATGTCTTTTATCCTGTGCAAGGGGATGCCCATTGCAATCTGCAGAGAGACAAAGGCCTGAGCTGCCAGGGAGACACCGACAGAATCTGAATGGGGAGTTCCCAATGGGAAGCCAGAGTAGAAGGAAAGCTGCCACACCTCTTTCACCTGCACCCTCCGTGCTGGGATATGGGGCAGCTTCCCTCTGCCAGGCTCCAGCCCAGTGCTCCTCCCTAAACACCCAAACTGCCTCCTCCAACACCCCTGGAGGGAGTGAGCCCTATGTGCAGCTACCTGCAGCTGGGCAGCCGGGAGGTTCACGTCCGCCACCATCTCCGTGCACGGGTGCTCCACCTGCAGCCGGGGGTTCAGCTCCAGGAAGTGGAAGCTCCCGTCCTCCTCGTACAGATACTCCACGGTGCCCGCACTGACGTAGCCAACAATCTGCGCCAGGCGGACAGCGCACTGCGGGAGAGGGAAACCCCTGGGTCATGGAATCCTGGTTGGGAAGGGACCCGCAGGATCGGCATCCAGCTCCTGCTTGTGCAGAGGACACCCCCAAAACCCCACCGTGTGCCTGGAAGTCCAAACGCTCCTTGGACTCTGGCACACTTAGGGCTGTGATCGCTTCCCTGTGGAGGCTGCTCCTGTGCCCGACCACCCTGGGCGGGGAGTCCTGCTCAGCTCAGGGGTCCCTCCCTTCCTTAAAACCCCAATAAACCCAGCCCAGTTTCCCATTAAAACTGGAAAACCCAGCCCTCAAGCTGCCCTTAGATCAGGCCACCCACCTTCTCCATCATCTCGGTGACAGCGGGGGCAGCGATGGTGGCTGGTGCCTCCTCAATGATCTTCTGGTGGCGGCGCTGGATGGAGCAGTCCCGGCTGAAGAGGGAGATGGCGTTGCCGTACTCATCTGCCAGGACCTGCACTTCCAGGTGCCGAGCGTGCTGCGCCACCTGCATCAGGAAAATGGGGGATCCGGGCGCCTCCGCCTGCACCTGCGGCGGGAGGGAGGGTCCTGCTCCGGCATCACCGCCCGAAATTCATCCCAGGACGGAGGCAGAGCTGCGGCGGGAAGTGGGAGGTGCCCCGGGTGGGAGCAGGACCCTGCCAGGATGGGACAGGAGCAGGGATGGGGGTTCCAGGCACCTCTCACCTGCCGGAAACTGGCACTGAATTCCTCTGCTGCCTCCACTTTCCGGATGCCTTTGCCCCCGCCGCCTTCTGCTGCCTTGATCATCAGGGGGTAGCCGATCCTCGTGGCCACCTGAGAGGGTCAGGGCTGGGGTGGCTGTAGTGTTTTGGACACCAGCACACCACCCTGACCGCCCACACAATTCCAGGCATCCCTGAGCAGGATTATCCCAAGTGACATTCATTCAGTGGGACAAACTGCTGCTGGCACAGCCTTGTGTCACTGTGGTGTGTGCTGGGAGGCCAGAAGAGCCAAGGCAGGCAGGCTCTGAGGAGGAATCATGGTGGGGAAGAGATAAGGAGCTGCCTACAGGCTCAGTTTACCTCCAGGCCTTCCTCCACGTCCTTCACACAGCCCTGTGCGTACGTCTCCAGGGGGATGCTGATGGTCTGCTGCTGATTCTGGTCCTCCTCAGACCACTGAGCCACCAGACCTGCAGATATGGCCAGGGCTGTGGTCACCACCAGGGTGGCACAGCTGGGGTGGCATGCTGGGTGTCCCCAGGGAGCTGAGGGTTCCATCATTTCCCTTGTTTCCTTGCACTTCATCTCCAAAATCCCCCTGCCCGAATCAGCTGCTGCAATGGGGTCCCCAATATGTGTGGCCAGATGGAGCAAGGACCCCCATCCTGGTGCTTGTTTTGGGGGCGAGGGGAGCAGGGAGGGTGTGGGGCTGTGAGGAGGCACTCACCACTCCCACTCCACGGCAGTGTGGGGATCTCCAGGGTCTGAGCCACGATGGTGGAGGCAACTTTGTCCCCCAGTGCCCACATGGCATCACTGGGGGGACCTTTGGATAGGGAGAGAAGAGCTGAGGGGGTGCTCAATCCACCAGCCCATCCCCACATCACTGAGTTGGCCCAACAGGCCTTCTGCAAGTACTGGGAATGCAGGAAAGGAACCTCCCCAAACCCACTGCCCAGCTCAGGACTGGGAATCCCACCAGGTCTGCTCCCACCCGGTGTTTCTGTGAATACTGCATTAGCCTGAACATTACAGGGAAAACCCAAAAAACAGCAGGATTCCTGCCCCAGGAAACCAGCCTGAGGACTGCCACTCCATGGGCTGGGCATGCCAGAGGCACCAAAGGGGCACTCCCAGTGCAGTGTCCCTGGCAGTGACTGTGAGTGCACACACCAGCCCAACTCCCAGCACGGAAAAGCAGTGAGACCTCACCTAGGAAAGCTATCCCGTTTTTCTGCAGCAGCTCTGGCAGCTTGTGGTTCTCTGAGGCATGTCCCCAGCCAGCCCACACCGCCTGGCACAAGGAGAAGCAGCAGTGGGTGGCATCTCCCACCATGCCCAGCTCCTCAGCACACAGGGACATCACCCCCATTGCAAGGAGGTGGGAGCCACACAAATGCTCATTACCTGGACTGGGATCCGTTTGGAAATGTCCACAATCAGCTCCACGTTGGCGTAGTTGTTGTTGTTCGTCCCTCCAGGAACTGGCACATAGTGATCTGCCATCTTGATATATTCTGCAAGAGAGCACGAGGAGTGGTGGTGAGAGCCAGATCCCTGAGTCAGATCCCTGAGCCAGATCCCTAAGCCAGATCCCTGAACCAGATCCCCTTCCCAAACCCTCCATCCCAGGGAGGCTGGAGCAGGGAAAAATTTACTCCTGGATTTGGCTGCACAGGAGTAAACTGTGTGACTCCAGGCTGTGCAGAACCTTCACGTGCCAGGCAGGAAAGGGCTGGCCCGGCTCAGCCCCAGGTAGGGAACCTCCTTTTTGGGGATATTTTCAGGAATTACCTGCGTTAGCCTTGAGGTCCTCGGGGGTGACCATGACCACGAAGCGAATGGCGCGCTCGTTGCGGAACATCTCGTAGGCCCAGCGGCGGATGGAGCGCATGCACTTCACAGCAGCGATGCCATTGTTGGCAATGAGGACCTGGGGACACAAGGACAGGGGGTGGCAGGGTGAGGCCTGGCCTTGCTACCCCAAGGGATGGCAGTGTGTGGTAATGTTCCTCACTCAAGGTCACCAAATGTGGTAACGTTCCTCACTCAGGGTCACCAAATGCAGGAATTGCGAGCATTCCCAACATGGGAAGAGATGAGAATCTTGACTCTGTGTCTCAGAAAGCTGATTTATTATTTTATGATATATATTATATTAAAAGGATATATTAAAACTATACTAAAGAATAGAAGAAAGGATTTCATCAGAATGCTTGAAAGGAAGAGAAAAGAATGATAATAAAATCTTGTGATTGCTCACAGCCTCGACACAGGTGGCTGTCATTGGTCATCAAGTAAAAACAATTTCACAAGCTGGGTAAACAATTCTCCAAATCACATTCCAAAGCAGCAAAACATGGACAAGCTGAAGCTTCTCAGCTTTTCAGGAGAAAAGATTCTAATGAAAGGATTTTTCATAAAATATGTCTGTGACAGCAGTGCAGGGGCAAGGGGTAAGTGTGGAGCAAAGCAGGGGGAGTGTGTAAATCAGGAGCTGCCATTGCTCCAAGCCTGGCAGATACAGGAGATTTGGGCAGTGCTCAAAGATGTCCCTGTGAAAAGCAGTGACCCCCAAGCCAGGCACAAGCAGGGATGTGTGGGGACAGACCTTCTCGATGACACGGTTGCCCCCAAAGCGGGTGACGAACTCGGCTGGGGAGGCAACAGAAAAATCCCGCTGCAGGTCTATCTTCCTGCGGCTCCTCTTCGTCAGGTGCAGCCCCGACATGCTGGGCCTGTGGTGGGATGTGGTGGCTGTCACAGAGCCCAGGGCCACCCCAGAGAGCCCAGAGCCACTCCAGTGAGCCCTCCCCCATCCCCAAACTCCCTGCAGAGCCTGTCCTGCAAAGGTCACCAACCATATCTACAATGTGACTCAGGAAATTCTTTATTTGCGGAAGGATGGAAGAATAGCACGGATACTGCTGGCAGCACCACCTCAAACCCTGCGTGGCAAGAGCCACCGTCGGGCTGTCGAGTGTCACAACATGTCCCTGCAGCTAAAGGTTTGTTATTTTTAGCCGCAGCAGAGCAGTTGGAGGAGGCAGGCAGCAGCATTTGGCTTCCAAGTTGTTTCTTCTGGATATATCAGCTGTGCTCCCATGGGAGCTTCCCAGTGACCTGCCCCACATCCAAACTAGAGATTTTGGAGGGCACCCCCTGCCCTGGTTCTTGCAGGTGGCACTGCTGTCACACAGCCAAGGACACTCACTGGCTCTCCTCCCTCAAAGGGAGCAGGACTGGGGACATCACCTTGTGGTTCTGAGGAGCGCCAGCACACGAGCACCCCAATTTTATTTACCAACAGCAATGTACCCACCACAAGCACCCACCCTCCCTAACTGGGACATCCTTACCCGACCACGCTCCGGCCATCGGGGGTTGCCATCCATACCTGATGCCGGCGCTGGGCTCCAGAATGTCGCTCACGGTGGTTGGCTCGGGGACGGTACCGGCCACCCCGGCCAGGCTGCTGCGCCGCCGGCCCACCTTGAAGGCCGTGGCCATCACCTCATCATCGGAGGAGTTGTCGTCGAAGGAGCCCAGCACGAACTTGGCGAGGGCCGGGCGGCGCAGCGCCGCGGGGTTGTACACGGCGAGCTGCTCCTGCTCCGAGCCCGCCCGCCCGGCCCTCGGCGGCTGCTGCCCGCCCGGGGGGCTCTGCTGGCCCGGGGGGCTCGGCCCGGCTGCGGGGCTCTCCTCCGGCTCCTTCTCCTGCTCGCGCCGACAGCTGGACATTTTGGCCCAAAGGAGCAGCAGCACAGCGAGCAGGAGCAGCCCAACCAGCAGCATTCACGGGCCCTGGTGGACGCGGAGCACGGCGGTCACGGCTGTGCCGCTGAAACCGCGGCCCCGTCCCGCAGCGCCCGGTGCCGGCCGCCGTCAGCCGGCGCGGAGCCCCATGAGGAGCCGGGGGGGTGACACGGCCTGTCCTGCCCGGCCCTCATAGCACCCTCAGGATGGCGGTTCCTCACACGGGGGGGCGTTGAACGGGTCCCCCGAAGCGTGGTGAGTGCGGTGGATTATCCCCGTCAGAGTGGGCATGGGGGTGAGGGAAAAGCGCCTCACCTTCCCTCTCAGCCCCTCACCTTCCCTCAGCCCCCCAAGCTCCCCTCAGCCCCTCAGCTCTCGCCCCCTCACCATGGCTACCAGCCCCGAGCCCCCTCCTCGCCAGACCCCGCCGGGCTCCCGGGTCACTGCAGTGTCAGCGGTCGGTCCGTGTGTCCATCTGTCCCTCCCCGCTGTCCCCGGGCCGGAGCCCTCGCGGTGCCAGGGCCGCCCCCAAGGGAAGCACAGGCCCCCCTCCCTGCCCGGCTGTTCCAGTTTGGTCTCGCACGTGACGGTCACGTCAAGCAGAAATATTTCGCTGCTAACGTGTCTGGAAAAGTTCTGCTGGAGATGAGGGTGGAGGGAGGGAGGGGGACACCCGATCCTTGGGGGACAAAGGTGCCCTGGCCCTGTGCCTGGTCACGGGGATGAGGACAAGGACACGCTCATGGGTTTGGTTCCCTGGGGGGAACAGGGACTCCCCATTCCTCCCTCCCCGAGTTAAAATACCAATGCAAGATCATGTAAACAAAGTCATTTTTATTTAAAAAAAACACACTCGGAAAAAAAAACCCCAAGCAAACAACATATACAGCAAGGCCACAGACAGTGTCAATTCACTCGTGATAGTGTTAGCTCAGAGACAACACCAGAGGAAGGGTAACAAGGATATTCTATAAAAACTGGTGTGATTTAAAAAAAAAAAAAAAAATAAGGGCTCTTCATTTCTATTAAAGGAATTACAAAGTCAAAGATGGGCTGGAAACCCAGGAGTATGAAGTCAACACTTCTCCCTCCTGGAAATCCTGACAGTTATTGCCAACAGCAGGTGGAAACTTTAATTTGCTCCCAAGGTGGCAAAGCACAAAGTTCCATCTTTTAAGATCTTAAAAAGATCTGAAGAAATTTGCAGCTATCAGTCCCTGAACTGGGAGATGTCGATGAACAAACCTTCGCTGCTGCCATCAGCAAATACCCCCAGGTCCTTGGTCAGCACAGCTCACCTGTCACCCGGTGATTCCACACCCAGGAAGAAACTAAAACCTTTGGATTTTCCTGTCTAAACACCAGCAAAAAATTCAAAAGCATTTCCACAGGTCTTGGTCACAGCCTCCCTGTGGCTGAAGGGAGGATTTATCCCAAAATCTTGAGATCATGGATAGACCAAGCAACACTCCTGACCCTGTATTTTCTTCACAGCCTTGAGAAGCCATTTGTGTGATAAATCTGTAGCAAAAAGCTAAAACCAAAAGCCTTTTCCTCCCATGGAGACAGCTCCATTCCCCCTAAACAGGCAAACTGGATTTGTGTGGGATGGAGGAAGCAGAGCATGCACAAAAGCTGAGCAGCTCAGTAAGAACTGACATCCCTTCACCAGAGTCTGAAAATAAATTCTCATTGCCAAAATGACCAGAAATTAATACACAACTCAGGTATGTGGGGTCTTTTGTTTTGCTTCAAACCAGGCCAAGATCTGCTCCAGCAGCAGAGCTGTCCATCAAACACTCCCACACCCTCTCAGAAAATAAACATTAAAAACAAAAATATAATCATCTCTGAAAGTTTGGAAATTGATCAACACCATCTCTGAAAGTTTGGAAATTGATCAACACCTGAGGAGGAGTCTCTCAGAAATGGCCCAGGGACCACTCCCAAGCCCCAGCCCCAGCTCAGAGAGCTTTCCAGTCAATGGGCTTCTTCCCAGATTTCTTGAGGAATTCATTGGTCTTGGAGAAGTGCCGGCAGCCAAAGAACCCTCTGTTGACAGAGAGGGGTGAGGGATGAACCGTCTGCAGGACGTGGTGACGCTTCTGGGGACAGCAGAGGAAAACACTTGTTAGATTTGCAGGGTTTGGATTGCTCCTGCTCCAGGGCAGCTGAGATTTTCCCCTATTCTTCCTCCTGCTCCAGACTAGGTGTGATTTACCCCCATTCCTCCTCCTCCTCCTCCTGCTCCAGGGCAGGTGTGATTTACCCCCATTCCTGCTCCAGGGCAGGTGTGATTTGGCCCCATTCTTCCTCCTGCTCCAGGGCACGAGATTTACCCCCATTCCTGCTCCTCCTGCTCCAGGGCAGGTGATTTACCCCTATTCTTCCTCCTGCTCCAGACTAGGTGTTATTTATCCCCATTCCTCCTTTTCCCGCTCCAGGGCAGGTGTGATTTACCCCCATTCCTGCTCCAGGGCAGCTGTGATCTCCCCTTACACCCCCTCCTGCACCACCCTGAGACCCAAAGAGAACCAGCCACAGGCACCAAGACTTCTGTCCCACTAACCAAAGCCATAAATGCCCTGGCATTTCCCAATGGCTGTCAACCCACCAGCACATTTCATATTGATTCATCAGCCCTCAGCTGGGACAAAACAGCTCTGTCCTTGTGGGACAACAGGAGTTACACTTGCTCCACTTTTCTTGCTCAATTCTGGCAAAGGCTAAGCTGGAGCAGAAGCAGAGCTCGATCCGAGAGAGCTCAAGCAGGGAAAATTCCCAATTCTGTAAGGGAAGTGCCCTCTAGTGTCCAGCAAACCGAGTGGGGAGGAGAGGGAAGGGCTGAGGAGCACCAGGTGTACCCACCCTGTCGATGGAGCTGCCTTTCCTCTGGGCATAGGCTCCCCAGAGCATGAAGACGAGCCCGTGCAGGTTCTTGTTGAGCCACGACACCACAGCATCCGTGAACTGCTCCCAGCCCCTCTCCTTGTGGGACGTGGCCTGGTGAGCCCGAACCGTCAGCACCGCGTTCAGCAGCAGCACCCCTGGCCAACAGAGCACACCCAGAGGGTCACACAAGGGTTAATCCAGGTTAATCCATCCCTGCACTGCCCAAGGCCGGGCTGGATGGAGCTCTGAGCAGCCTGGGATACTGGAAGGTGTCCCTTGGATAAGCTTTAAGCTCCTTTCCAACCCAAACCATTCTGAGATCCAAATTTCTTTTTTTCCGCTGAAGCAAATCTTCATTTTAGGGCGCTCAGAAGCAAATTTCTCTCCTACAGGTGGATTATTTCCAACCAAAGGGCTGGGTTTTAGATAAGATTCTTTCCTGCTCCACAGGGGGCACATCACTGAGGGTCTCTGAGCTCACCTTGCTTGGCCCAGCCCGTCAGGTCCCCATGGCCAGGGTGGGTGAAGCCCTCAATGTCCTCAGACAGCTCCTTGTAAATATTCTCCAAGCTGCAAACCAAACCAGCAGAAGACTTTTAGTATGACAGGAGCAAGCAGCACCAGTTATTCCTCTAAGCAGGCAAGAAAAGCATTGATTTCAATCTTATTATTTAAGATAATAAAGCCATTTGCAGAGGCAGGGCAGCAGGGACTCTGTGTGTCTGCCTGGAAGTTTTAATGAGACTGGAAATGGAAATTTACATCCAGAATATCACCAAAACTGCACAGAATTATCCTTCCAGGTAATGCACAACTCAGATTTAAGTAGTTGCAAACCACTTCACAACAATCTTCCCAGCCCTGAGTACCACAGAACTGCAAATAACGAAAGGGATTTCGTAAATGTTCATACCTGGGGGGAGGTGGAACAGGTTTCTGGACACTGAAGCAGAGCCCATGAGCTTGCTTGGGTCCATGGTATGGATCTTGTCCCAAAATAACAACCTTTACCTGAAAACAGACCTTGGTCAGCATTGAATTGTAATCAGTATTATTCCCTAGAGGGTGATGAAAAAAACACTAATAAATGAGCGTTTTTTTTATCCTCAAATAGAGATGATATCTCATTGCTAAAGAGCACAGAGCCCACCTAACACTAAGGATTAATATCCCTATGGCTTTGCTGCCAAAATAAAGACTATAACTAATAACTAATATAATTTTGACTATAACTAATAATACAGGTTGACTATAAGTTTGACTATAAGTTATATTATTTGAGAGCAGAAGACCAACATTTTCGCAGTCACAAAAAATCACCTTGTTATTTTTCAAGCAAGTTTCATCCCATTTCAGCTTTATGTCAAACTTGCTGTGATATTTTTGACAGCTTTCATTGGAAATAACATTACCTTGTGTTGTCTTATTTTCTTTAATAGTCCTTAAGAACAAGTGATGTAAAAGATCAAAAAACTATGGGCTAGGTTAAGCTGTTAACACCAGACAAAAGATCAAAAGGTCCAGAGGAAGTTCTGTGGCTTGTGAGGGTAATAAAACCATAAAATCACGGTTTGTTATCAGACATGAAAGGGAAGGCTGGATTTATGAGTTAGGTGAGCCAAACAAAAACATCCCCACCCCATGGGATCCAAGTTTAAGGGACCAAACACTAAAGGAACGAGTCTGTGCACCCACCC